TCAGGCTCTCTTTGTGGGTCTCATCAAAGTTATCAAGCAGGGAGCTGGAGCTGTAGCTAACTTTTTTGTTCCGAGTTAACTTTTCTGCCCTAACTTTTCTGTCTTGAATAGCCTGCAGCTAATTCTCATTCATAATTTTCACGTAAATGCCTCGTAAAATACTATGAAGTTAATATTTCCATGTTTAACGAACTATTTTTTAATATCATTGAATCTCATTGTTCTTATTATCATCATTTAATTTTTAATAGGATTCTTTAGGATGCCCGTTTTTTTAAAATGTCATTATTGAGATGATTCTGCCTATAATGCTATTTTAGGCCGGAATTGGGCACGACCTGCGCTTCCCGCTGAAATGCTGGCCAACGAGCATGAAATCGATTTCCAGGTTGTCGATGTCGATTATTATATGGGTAAGTGAAAAGAACTTTTGGCTTAGCGTAGCAAGTATGAAAAGCAACGATCGATCGTATGGACTGTAAGCCAAAAAGTTGGTGCAGCTTACTTAGATGAAAATTGTGTACAAATCCATGCTGTGATTGTTTATCACTAGCTGGCTGTTGGCTTTCTGAGAGTCCAGTTTTTGTATTTTAGATTTTGCAATGTATTACTTTTTGTGAAAACTCCTAAAAATATAGCTTAATTTCTGAAGAAACTCTCATATGAACAAGTCGCTATTTCTGAAGAAACTCTCATATGAACAAGTCGTCTTGAAGTCCCTCTTCTCATGATTCATGCTTCTACTTTATCGCCTCATAAGAGTCTGCCTGAAGTTTTTATATTTTTTCTGGATCTCTCTTCACTTGCAGGGTTTTTGTGTTTTTACATGTTTCCTAATGCGTTCTAAAACTAACTAAACAAAAATTGTTAAATACTGCTTTTTCATATTGCGTTTTGTTTTTACAGTTTCTGCATAACTGGTTGGTATTTTTTCTGTCCCAAATATTATTTTGTCAAAAAATCCCAAAAAGAACTGCGGATGTAAATAGCCAATAATGCATTTACAGATAATCAGGATGATGTTGTCATTCGTTTGTTTGGAGTTACGGCTGGCCAAAATTCTGTTTGTGTGCAAGTGCATGGATTTGTTTCATATTTTTATGTATTATTAGAAAGTGCATTCGAAGAAAAACACATCGAATATGCCAAAAAATATTTGGATAATTTAATTAAGGTAAGTCTTTAAATTTGAAATCACAAGCCTTTTTTTATAATTTTTTGAACAGATTATTGAAAAACTGTCACGAACTCCCAAATACATTTTTGGATCGGTGAATTGAGTTTTTGTTAAAAATCTAGGACAAAACGCATAATAATTGTAGCGTAATCCATGAATTTCAGAGTCAATTACCAACGAATATTGGAATTTCGAAACATGTTGAGAAGTTAGTTGTTGATCTGGAAATCGTACAAGGCGCCAATATTTATGGTTATAAGGAGAATCTAAATCAGAATTTTCTAAAAGTATATGTTCGTTCTCCCAGGCTCCTCAATATCTGTAAGTGGGACATCAAGTTCTTATGCTTCTATTTAATTTTTTAATGTCCAAATTCCGCTAGACTGTCATAACTTTGATCAAACTTTACTTCATTTTGTTCCAAAATTGCGGATTATTTTTATTTTTAGGTCGTCGAATATTTATGAATGGAGTTGA